ATATTTAGGCTTTTGCCACCCAATGGAAGCTCTGTGCAATTACAATTTACCACTCTTAATCATTCAGTCCACAGACAGTTATTTCCTTAATTGATAATTAGATGGTCTGCCAGCCTACACCAGAGGGTCGTGCTGTGGGTCATTTTCTCTCTGATTAAAGTAACTCGTAGCAGAATGATGTGGAATGTCAATGGCTACCTAATGAGATCCTGCAATCTCATTTTGACTTTTTAACCTCGACCCCGGTGAGCTACATCTGGATGCGTCTGCAAAAACCGAGAGCAGACAGAACAGCAGACAAAGCAGTCCATTTGACAGGGTGGTTAACCTCATTTTAATGGCTGCTCTCGTCAATATGTGGCTGTCAAGCACATGAATATTGAGTGTCTGTTAGTCAAATGAAGTCAGATGGAAGAACAGTGAAGATGGCGGTAAGACATTTGCTTTTGTTAATGTAAATGAAAGAGATGCAGTCGTTTATTTATTAATATTTAAGCAGCTGCATTGACACAGATGCATTTGCATTGTTTAGGTTCACCTCATTTTCCACCAAAGATGAAGAACTAGATGAATTCCAGAGGGTGGTTGAAAAGCTTGTCTTGAATATAGTTCCAGTTGCAGAGGTAATAACCAATATACTCTGCTGTGTACACCAGTTTTCCTTTTAACTTTAAAAATCTGAAAGTTTAAATGACTTATTATAGGAGTAGTCAGCAGATAAATTATTAATGTCAAAAAGGGGCAGAGGATGGCAAACTCTTTTGGCATGTTTGTATCACCGACGTGTTTAACTTTATGTTTTTTGCAGTGCCACCTGTAAAGGGATGTGACATAAGGTAGCATTTGAACCATGATGGACGTGCTCTATAATGTTGTACTGTGGACATTTATGTGCTTTTCTGTGCAGAGGAGTTTTTTTGTTTCCTGTTCTCATGCTGTCCTCCTGTAGCCCAGCATGAGTAGAGGTCTCTTTTTTTCCTCTTGTACTTTCCCATTGTAGTGTACATTTCAGTGGTTTTTCTGTAATACAACCGTTCTCTGACTTGTATCCCCATGTGATGTCTGTGTTGTGTGTGTAAGGTCAGGGGGCGGGTTCATTCCACTGCAGGGCAACCTGCCACTGTATGTGGCGAATAAAATTTGAACTTGAACTTGAACTTGATATCTCGGTATCACTAGAGTAACATAGGAAATCTTGTCTGGCCAAATGTATAGTACCTACATTACCAAAAGGTGTCCCTGTAAGGACATATTCTGAGCCAGAGAAGGGGAGAATAGTCGATTAGAGTTCAATGATGCTGTAATCTCAATACGTGCAGCTTTCGGGTGCTTGTTTAGCTCAGTGTGTCGAGCAGGCCACCACATGCCATACAGCTGAGAGCGGCCGGCCCGGGTTCGAGTCCATCCTGTTCGCCGCATGCCTTTCCCTCTTGCTTTCCTGTCATTTCTTCACTGTATCTGTCAATTTCTTTTTAAAAAAGGCTAAAATAACAGCATCTTTTACACATATAGTTGAAAATCTTAATGCTGGTTGTGAGAGAAATATGTGAGAATTTGCAACTGCTTTGCCTACTCTGTCTTTTATTAGTTTACTACCTAAAATTCCATAAGCACCTTTAACAGCTGCACAATAATATTTACATACTAATCATAGAGTGCGACAAATGTGAAAATAGAGTTTCAGCGTGCATCGTATGCCCTTACAATATATATCGACATCCAATGAAGAACAGTTTGGAGACAAACACACGGCAATGGGCCTACGCTGTTGGGAGCTTCCCATGATGCACTTCTTTACTCATCTCTTTTCACACTCTGTTTTTAATCATTCGTGATCATTAATCTGTCTTTTTTTACACAGTATG